TTTTTTTTTTTTTTGTTTTTTTTTTATTTTTTTTTATTTTTTTATTTTTTATTTTATTTTTTTTATTTTGCCATCTTTAAGTCACTTATCCATTTGCTATTATATATTACCAATTGTTGGAAAATGTTTGTCACAAAGAGGGGGTTCTTGACTTTTTCTCTGTCAATCCTCTTCGGGCACACTTGGTAAAATTCGAATCAATATTGTGTAGTGATTGGAATTTGCCTCATTATGAGATAATATTTTTCACGATAATCCATTCTTATTGTTCGTAGACTTTATTTAATTCATGTTTCTCCTAGCTAGGACTGTTATAGAAAACAAGATGAAATGAGCTTGGCACGCGAGTGGCTCGATAAGACCAAGATATGGCATTAATGTTAACCTTTGACTCTTGAATCTTTTACTCTAATTCCTATCTCATCCCTTGAGTCGTTCCACCTCTGATTGATTTTTTTTTTTTCTTTTTATTCTTAATTTTATTTTCTTTCGTTTGTTCTTTCATTTTTGTTCTGATCAGTGTTCAAATTATTAACCTTTTGGGCTTTTAAGGAATCTACGATGGTTTACGCCTTACAGGACGTGGAAAAACAGAAATTTTATGGCTTTTTGTTCTGTTTGGTTTTGAGGGATAGCTCATACAGGAATACCTCCAAATTTCCTCTAAGCTATTGGGGACTAAATCTATTGTTTTGGCTTTTATGATTTTCTTATTCAAGTTATTACTGAAATTGTTACAAGAATTATGAGACGAAAAAGAGGCCCGAGCTTCTAAAAATATTTTTCATAAAACGAGTTGAGCTTGAGTTCGAGCTAGAGCTTGAACATACAAGTTAAGAGCTGGGCCTAGCTTTACTCCATCTCGTTATTCTTCTCGACCTAGCTCATGCCAGCTTGATGATATATGCTCTAAGATGAGTTTGGATTTCAAGTACTTGGGCTTGACTCAACTCGTGAACAGCTCTAGCTCCTAATGGATTTGAGTTTGTCTTATTCTGGTATATGTTAACCATGCAATGAGGTTTATTTCGTAGTATTACTTGTCAAAGATCTAAACTGACATGCAATTGCGAATTCATATATTCTTCTTTAGTTGATCCGTCCCTTTTGATTCATTTATTTCTTATTCTATGTGTGATTGCTTGGTTTGTTCTTTAACAGTGCATAGCTACATAAATGCTGATAATTTACCCCTTTCTCTTGCAGTGGATTCTACCTATATTTTTCTGGAGAAGGAAGTCACGCAAATGCAGGTGTGTGCACAAGGAAAGCTAACCTATCCTTATGTCTGTTGAATAGATTATCCCTTGCTAATGTTGCATAACTGCCGTTTTTCCCTTCGTGATAACGTCTTGTGTATTTTTGGATATAATATCCTGATACTTGAAAGATGTTTGCATGATAAGCTGATTATAGTTTTGTTGTGGGAGTACACACTTATAAGTAACTTGGGTATATGCGGATGAATAGCATGGAGATTTGAAGAATGATGTAGCTAACCAAAAGTGGATCATAGTGATGCATCAAAATTTCGTTTAACAGTTTTGTTGAACTTATGCTTGATAAATACCATGTATTTACAAAATTACTGCTTATTGTCTTAGGTACATGTTTGGCTTGTCAGACAAGAATACAGGGCTGCTATTGCTTTTGGAACGTGATCCTCGTGTGGGAATATGGAGATGTGTTCTAAGCACAGCCATGTAAAAAGTGAATTTGTCCATAAGTGAAGTTTGGGAGATCACCGAGGCGATGTGTATGTTCTGTGCCTTTTGCCTCTTGTCCGGTCGGGATTGTTGTCTGGATTTTTTTTTTTTCTCTGTCACGCGATGTTGGGAATTCGTTTTATCATTTGTAGGTGGCCAACTGATTTAATTGGATTTGATGGTTTAGGGTACAGTTCACTGGGAAAATATGGATACTGTGCCTTCTTTTTTGCTGTACTTCGTTTGATTTTGTTTATAAATTTGCTCAGTTCATTTTTCCTCTGTGTGCTCGCTCGCACGTTTTTATCAGCAACTGAAATCCAACAGTTTTAAGTCAGTCTATGCGTATAATGAATTGATGACGTAAAAAATGTATATAACTTGCCTGAATAACCATCGCGTAGTTAGGGCTGCAAACGAGTCGAGCAACTCGCGAGCCGCTCGTGAGTGCTCGAGTCAAAACTTGGCTCGAGCTCGAGTTTGACCGAACTTGAGTCGAGCTTGAGCGGCTCGAGATATATGAAATTACTAAAATATCCTTGTATATATATGTATTTAATGGTTATTTTACAAAATTGCTTGAAAAAATCGAACCGAACTCGGGCAGATTGAGCATTTTGAATTCGAGTCGAGCTCGAGCTCTTGTATTTTTTTATCGAGTCGAGCTCGAGCCTCATAAATTGAGCTCGAGCAGCCAAAAAAAAAATTCAATCCTGCTCGATAAGGTCAATACTCGACTCGACTCGTTTGGTTTGGAGTCTTACGCGTAATACACTGCAAAGACACAATGGAAAAATGTTGGAAGTACATAAATTATGTACATAGAGGCATCCATAAGATGATGTGATATTTTGGAATCTGATATCTTGAATCTCTAATTCAATTATTAACTTTGCCAACAAAGAAGAAATAAAAACAAAAATAAAAAACAGAATCAGGAATCAAGATAAAGTAGAACTCTTGAAATCCTTTACGATTCCCCATTCACATTTTCTTAGAAATACTCTATACATTAAATTTCTTAAAATCAAGATCAAATCCTGTTTCTTTTCCTTTATTAATTTTCTTTCTTTTTTAATAGGCATGGATGATGATGATCAAGTTAATAAGGATGGTGACATATCAAATGGTAATACATGGATTCAAATTTTGTTTGTCTTGAAAAATTTCAGTTTGATTAAAAAAAACATTGGTGTTATAATATGAATCATATAATCTAAATATTTGGAACAATGGTTAAATCTTTAGAGCTTACGGGTAAACCTATTGTGCCCGAAAACAAAGAAGGTTTGGAAGCATGCACCAGTGTGCTGGGATGGGATAACTACTGATCTTGCAGGTTTAGAGACTGGTGGGGTTGCTCTTTGGACAAATCACAGGTTTCTGAAACCAGAATTCAACTAACTACATACATTTTATGGTAGCTTAGGAAGTCCCGGAATCTTTGGCAATTTGAACGGATTTGGAGACCAGAACATATTACAGTCCAAGCTGCAGAGAGAGCTTGGATAGAAGCTCTGGAAAATGGGAGCAGGTACAAAGTTGGCCAAACAAAAAACTAGTTAGGTCTGTTTGGACAGTATAGTGGTTAGTGTTTTGCTTGGTGTATTTGCTAGTGTTGTGTTTGTTCTGTTTTGTGTCTTGCTGGAGGATTCACTGTTATGTCAACTGCCTCCAGCAGGTGTTAGGTTTGTTGGTATGTCTAGGCCGCTCTTTGCTTGGTGCAGTTTTCTCTAGCTGGCCCTCGGTTTTTAGTTTCGAGTGGTGACCGGTGGTGTTTGTAAGTTTGGTTTAGCAAAGTATATAACCGAATTGTTATTTTAACGCAAAATCTGCTATGTGAGTGTCCACAGCAGAGGCCCCCAACCAGTGGAGAATTGGCTATCAAGTAACAAGTAATACCCGTGGCCAAATAATTTTTGTACCGTCTCAAAATGAGGTTACCATGATATCATCAATTTAATGAGTTCTCAAATTCAGAAGATTCATAGATAGAGAATGCCCACTAGCAGTAGCTCAATGAATTCAGCCATTCAATTTAACGTCCTAATGTCAGAGTTACATACATTTGGTTCCAATTTTTACAGATCTCTGCATTCAAATATACAGTTTTACCTTCTCCATTTTCAAATCGAAAGGGTTTAATGAGCTATACAATCAAATCAAATCAAAAACGAATTAGCATTACATAAAACAATATGAAGCCCATACGAAGGGTAAGTTGGTCAAAATACACGCATTACATGCTCACTCAATCGGAGATAGAAATGCTGTGTAAGAACCATCACCATACTTCAGTCCTTTCAAAAAGGCCGAACGTCTCTGGAAGGAGACAGTCGTATTTGGAATACTAAAAGGATTATCACTTTCTAGCAATTGTTCGTCAGCTGCAGCTAGGTGAGATGATTGATGGTCCTTGATTATTACGTCTAGACCAACATTCAAACCATTTGTGGTCGACTCAGTCAAAAAACTGCAATAAACCAAATAATGAGAAGGTATTGAACCGAAAAGAGTATAGTCATGTACAAGTACCAATGAATGCTCGGCCAAATTAAAATAGGAACTAAATTGTTTTAAGAAACAACCATGATTAAAAAAGTGTAACAAGCCTATCACATCAGTAGAGTACAGCTTCAAGCAATAACGAGATTTTGGGATACCTGGCTTCAAAGTCACCTCCATTAGATCGCATAGCATTACAAATGCCAGAAATGACCCATGGAGGAAGATATGCATCCTTGATTTCAACACTATAGCAGATTCCACCACCCGAACTTTTAGGTTCACTGTCCGTATTAGAGTCCTTTAGCCGGGAAGACAAGTAGTCAACCTTCCTTACCTGTTTGCATCTAACCTGCATAATAAATATGGAACTGATGGAATACACCAGAAAAAGAGATTGGATTGGGAAGTGTATCATGTCACATACTGAAGCGTGCATGGCAATTATCGTGCAGCAATTCTTAGGTTAATTATACACTTCTCTTGCCAATACCTATACAAGTAAATTATAACAATAGGAAAATCATGGATAGTCAGAGAGTTGAATTGAAAAGAACGATTATTGAACCTAACCTTTCAAAGCAGAAATTATTTTAGCAACTTAGAAACTTGGTACAGTTTATCAAAGCCAGGTTATATTATTCTTTATGAACAGCTTATAACAGCCACAGTTGAACATCTACAATTGTTTATATCGAGTATACATGATGCAAGTGACTTCCTTGATAACAATGAAAGTCTGCTATTTACCACAAACTACATAATAATAGGCCTACCTCGGGAGTCGAAAGAGCAGCATTCTCAAAAGGAACTGGTGAATACAGCACAGGGACATCACCACCAGTCAAAGAAGTTAAGAAAGATCTAAAAGAAAACAGAGAAATTTCAGATAAAGAAAACAAATGGAGAATGTTGATCAAGTATTTCTAACATTTGTTGCCAAACAAAAGTTACATAAACAGCAAATGCCAAACACCAACCTGTAATTCAATAGAAAATCATACAACGCGTGTACATTCTTATTCCCGCTGAACATCAGTAGGGATTGTGGAGTGTTATCAACGCCAATCAAGGACTCTATAGCTCGAGTCTGTGACAGTCAGATAAACTATAAATTATAACTGCACACATTAGATAATGAAAGGACTTGACCAAAGCCAATGACCTTGAATGTACAGCATGAGAAAGACAACTTTACATCTTTAGTTATGAACAAAAGCAGCAGCCATGTAATGTGAAATTAACCAATTTTGTTGCTGTTCTCAAAATTATTGAAAACATGGGAATAAGTAAGTTAACGTCCTTGAAAAGTGTAGATAATGGAGTTCTTAACAGAAAAATGATTCGCAATTTTTGTCAAGCAAGGTGTAGGATGATTAATCATATTTGATCTAAATATGCACCATTTCAAGTTTTATAATTGGCATAAATGGAAAAAGTTACAAACCTGGCCAAGATTGTGTTTCTCAATATGAGAAAGTTCAACGATGTCTTCTGCGGTAACTTCTTCTAATTTAGAAAAACAAAGAGGCATTGAGAAAGAAACATCCTGAAATCAGAAAATAAAATGCACAAAATCAAATTTTGATATTTCAACTACGAGTGGGTTAAAAGAACACTCATAAAGTAACAGAAAAGGAGATCCAAGTGGCTAGAAATATGAAATCAAAATAACAAGACAAAATCTGGTTTATGCGATTTATGACACAGTTTTAATTTCTACAGAACACTCATCTTTACGGATAAAGTAAGACTTACATGTTCTTTCAGAAGTGACCTTAAATTTCTTGTCGACTGAGAAACATATGCATAGCAAGAAGACCTGATTTTGTTCGCACCATCATATGCAGTGAACATAACTACGAATTGAGGACTGCACACTGCAAATGTTTTTGGAGGGGCAGAAAAGAAAATGGATATAACACATTAACATCCAACAACAAGAACAAATTTGTTTAACCTTTTATTTTTACGCAAACACAGGAAAATTGATGATCGTGTAAAGAGATTTGGGGTGAAAGAATTCAGATGAATACGTCAGTTCATATTTAAGAGCTCAAGCATAAATGTTCTTGCAAACATGAAAAGTAGAACATAAGTTTGATCTATCTATATCTATATCTATACTACTTTAAAAGGAGGAGTGTTTTTGTAAAAATTCATAATGCCTAAAAAACCCTTACTTTGACATAAATTTTATAGCAAATTAGTAATACACTAATACACATCATATTTTATTTATATTTTTAATTAAAAAATGAACTACCTAAAAAACCCTTACTTTCACATGTTTTTAATGGCAAATTAGTAATATACCAATGTCATCATATCTTATATCCTCCCTATATATAATTAAAAAAACATAACTTTTCTCAATTCAACATAAGCAAATCAATGAAAATAATATATTTTTAAAAATTTTATGAACAAAAGTTGACTCGACAATATTATTAATGAATTTACGATATTTAATTAAAATATTAATTAAAAAATTGTAATTATATATAATATAATATAGAATATACAAATATTTGATATAAAATGAGGCAGATGATCGAAAAAATTCTATACTTTATATTATGTCTTTTTTGATAAACCTACAGTTAAGAACATGTGAAAGAACAAGATAAATATAAGAAATAATATGAATAATAAATAAGTTGTGACATGTACTAATAAATATAAAAGAAACTAATAAACAAAAATAATATAATTAATACAACTAAATATAAACCTTCTAAAAATATACTTATCGATGTAATCGAACTGAGTTGTTAAACGCTTGTTAGTTTTTTGTTCTAATTAATTTATGTGTAAATTTGAAGTTATAGACAATAGTTATTTGTACATTTATACATGTAGATTAGAAAAAAAAACTTTATTATTCTAATTTTAAATAACTTTTTTATTTACTAATATAGAAGTATCATATTGAACAGATAAAATAAGAAATATTTTAATTATATAATATTTAATATGTAAGAAATGTAACTCAATTGGTAAATTAATAGGTAATCTTGGGATAAATTAATGAGTGATTTCTGAAAAAANAAAAAAAAAAAAAAAAATTATAGGAACTAAAAAGTTCACGTGTTTAATATATTTTTAATAGAAAAAATGTAAACACATATATTCAATAAATACTACATAAAAATATAAGAAATCTTATATCCTCCCTATATATAATTAAAAAACATAACTTTTTTCAATGCAACATAAGCAAATCAATGAAAATAATATATTTTTAAAAATTTTATAAACAAAAGTTGACTCGACAATATTATTAATGAATTTATGAATTGTAAATATTTAATTAAATTATTAATTAAAAAATTGTAATTAAATATAATATAATATAGGATATACAAATATATGATATATAATGAGGCAGATGATCGAAAAAATTATATACTTTATATTATTTGTTTTTTGACAAATCTACATTTAAGAACATGTGAAAGAACAAGATAAAGTTTTAAAAAAATACTAAATATAAGAAATAATATGAAAAATAACTAATTTGTGACACGTACTAATAAATATAAAAGAAACTAATAAACTAAAATAATATAATTAATATAACTAAACATAAACCTTCTAAAATATACTTATCGATGTAATCGAACTGAGTTGTTAAACGCTTGTTAGTTTTTTGTTCTAATTAATTTTATGTGTAAATTTGAGGTGATAGACAATAGTTATTTGTACATTTATAGATGTAGATTAGAAAAAAAATCTTTATTATTCTAATTTAAAATAATTTTTTATTTTCTATATTAGTTTTTTTTATATAATATATAAGTATCATATTGAACAGATAAAACAAGAAATATTTTAATTATATAATATTTAATATATAAGAACTGTAACTCAATTGGTAAATTAATAGGTAATCTTGGGATAAATTAATGAGTGATTTCTGAAAAAAAAAAATTATAGGAACTAAAAAGTTCACGTATTTAATATATTTTTAAAAGAAAAATTGTAAACACAATTATTCAATAAATAATATATAAAAAATATAAGAAATCTTATATCCTCCCTATATATAATTAAAAAACATAACTTTTTTCAATTGAACATAAGCAAATCAATTAAAATAATATATTTTTAAAAATTTTATAAACAAAAGTTGACTCGACAATATTATTAATAAATTTATGAATTGTAAATATTTAATTAAATTATTAATTAAAATTTTTTTATTAAATATAATATAATATAGGATATACAAATATTTGATATATAATGAGGCAGATGATCTAGAAAATTCTATACTTTATATTATGTGTTTTTTGACAAATCTACAGTTAAAACATGTGAAAGAACAAGATAAAGTTTTATAAAATATTAAATATAAGAAATAATATGAAACATAACTAAGTTGTGACACGTATTAATAAATATAAAAGAAACTAATAAACAAAAATAATATAATTATTATAACTAAATATAAACCTTCTAAAAATATACTTATCGATGTAATCGAACTGAGTTGTTAAACGTTTGTTAGTTTTTTATTCTTATTAATTTTATGTGTAAATTTGAAGGGATAGACAATAGTTATTTGTACATTTATACATATAGATTAGAAAAAAATCTTTATTATTCTAATTTTATATAATTTTTTTATTTATTATATTAGTTTTCTTAATATAATATATAAGTATCATATTGAACAGATAAAATAAAAAATATTTTAATTATATAATATTTAATATGTAAGAATTGTAACTCAATTGATAAATTAATAGGTAATCTTGGGATAAAATAATGAGTGATTTATGAAAAAAAAATTATAGGAACTAAAAAGTTCACGTGTTTAATATATTTTTAATAGAAAAACTGTAAACACAATTACTCAATAAATACTACAAAAAAGTTATAAAAAATCTTATATCCTCCCTACATGTAATTAAAAAACATAACTTTTCTCAATTCAACATAAACAAATCAATGAAAATAATATATTTTTAAAAATTTTATGAACAAAAGTTGACTCGACAATATTATTAATGAATTTATAAATTGTAAATATTTAATTAAATTATTAATTAAAAAATTATAAATAAATATAATATAATATAGGATATACAAATATTTGATATATAATGAGGCAGATGATCGAAAAAAAATCTATACTTTATATTATGTGTTTTTTGACAAATCTACAGTTAAGAACACGTGAAAGAACAAGATAAAGTTTTAAAAGAATATAAAATATACGAAATAATATGAAAAATAACTAAGTTGTGATACATACTAATATATAAAAGAAACTAATAAACAAAAATAATATAATTAATATAAATAAATATAAACCTTCTAAAAATATACTTATCGATGTAATCGAACTGAGTTGTTAAACACTTGTTAGTTTTTTGTTCTTACTAATTTTATGTGTAAATTTGAAGTGATAGACAATAGTTATTTGTACATTTATACATATAGATTAGAAAAAAAAATCTTTATTAATCTAATTTTATATAACTTTTTTATTTACTATATTAGTTTTCTTTTTTGACTGGAACTATATTAGTTTTCTTAATATAATATATAAGTATCATATTGAACAGATAAAACAAGAAATATTTTAATTATATAATATTTAATATGTAAGAATTGTAACTCGATTGGAAAATTAATAGATAATCTTGGGATAAAATAATGAGTGATTTATGAAAAAAAAATTATGTGAACTAAAAAGTTCACGTGTTTAATATATTTTTAATAGAAAAATTGTAAACACAATTACTCAATAAATACTACATAAAAAATATAAGAAATCTTATATCCTCCCTATATGTAATTAAAAAACATAACTTTTCTCAATT